TGGGTGGCTGGGTGGCTGGGTGGCTGGCCCCTGGTGTCCTCCTCTCCCCCTTTTCTTGTTCTTCCCTCTTCTTCTACTTATTCTTTGTGCCTGGCAGCCCTGCCTATTTTTCTCCTGCCTTGCTATTGGCCATTCAGCTTTTTATTAGACCAATCAGGTGTTTTAGACAAGCAAAGTAACACAGCTTCACAGAGTTAAATAAATGCAACACATCTTTGCATCATTAAAAAATATTCCACAGCACAAACCAGTATAACACATCTTCACCTAATATTCCACAAAGACTGAGTCTACCCAAAGATGAAGTAGGGATGGTGGGACACTTGTGGGATGCAGCAAGGATTAAGAGTTAAGCACTTGCCAAGGACTCACCTGATGTAGGATGTTGACTTCGTACTGACGTGGACTTCTGTTGCTTTGGGATCTGGTGCATTATTTGTTCCATTTTGTGGTACTGGAGCTGGAATCCAGGGCTTTGGGTATGCCAGGCCAGCATTTTACCTCCTGGCTTCACCCTTTGCTAGTGCAACATGGCCCTGCTGGTACTAATCTCAATAGAGATCTCTGTCTTCTCTGGTGAAAGTGGGTGTGGGCACAGGCCAGGCATGCTCAGTCTACACCTAATCATCTGCACCTTCTCCAAAAGAAAGGAAGCTAGAAAGGGAAAGGATGCTGGAATTTGGAATTTTCCAGGGAGGGTTTCCAGAGCTGTTTTAAGGCACATGCAGGTAGCCTTGTGAAGACTGGAGGAACTTTGCATCTCACCAAGGCAGTCACTGATGATCTGGTTCTCCAGCAGAGCCCAGACAGTTCCTCAGAGACACCAGGTATGGGGCTCAAACAAAACTGATTCTGTTCCTATTTCTAAAGAGGAGCCATAAAGGAGGACAGGGGCTCAGAGAGGAAAAAAATCAAAAGATTGGATGAGTGATTCCTAAGGCCTGTTCCAAACACCAAAGCCCTGAGGATGATGCAAAGAAAGGACATTAATATTCCAGGCAGGAGAATTCAGGCACATGCTCAGGAAAATATGTCTCAACTACATTCCAACTGAGCTTCAGAGTCTGCTCTAGAATGTGAGGGGGAAATGAAAGGGAAGGCTGGAACGCAGGGGTGGGGCGGGGGAGGCAGGGGCATCTTACATCTCTTAAGCTGGCTGGCTGACACAGAAGCTGCTTCCTGAAGCCCCCACCCTCCTCCTACCTGGGTTGGAAGGCTGGCTGTAGCCGGAAACCTCAAAAGGATTTATATGACGGACAGTTCTAGACTTCTTTGACCATTTGAAGCTTGGGCCTAAGTGCTGTGTGTGGCTCAACTAGTTTTGCAAGAGAACAGGCCACACTTTGGAGGAACCAGAGCAGGTACCTGTGACAGGCTATGGAGTTTCTCACTGGATCATTCATCACGCAAGGGCATAAAGATGGCTCAGAAGTGTTCTTGCCAGAGAGGAGTTTTTATGTTTCAAGGGACAGAAGGGAAGGGGATCTTTGCAAGAGTTGGGTTGAAATCTCTCTGATACTAGAAATCCCCTCTGAGAACACCTACCAGGTCCCCTCCGCTCCCGGGACACCGATCGTGCTGCTCAGATGCTGACTCAGTGTACGGACGCTCCTGTTTGCCCATCAACACAAACCTACCGTCCTCCGTCTCCCCTTACCACTCAGTCTCTCAGTGCTAGCTCCTGGAGAAGAGAAAAAGGGATGTCAGAGAAACTTGATATGACATCATCCGGAGCCTGAGCCTGTCTGCTCCATGAGACCTTCCATCGTCACGGTGTGCTTGTGGAGCAGCCTCACAGCTATGGCTCCAGCTTGGGTAACATTCTCTTGATGCACACACACCTGTGAGCTACTTCCTTGTATTCCCACTGGCTTCCCTGTGAGGATGGGCTCTGACAACACCAGCTTGGATGCCCCCCTGCCTCTGATTTTGGAAGAAGTGGTTGCATGAAATGTACCAAGTATAATTGAGTAAACAAACAGCAGCAAACCATTAGGCCGTGTGTCTTGTCACTCAGTGACTCAGAATTCCTACCTAAAAAATAGAAAATGAGGCTTGAGCCAGTGTCTCCGGGACTGGCCAAAATGTCTGGATATTTGGAAACACTCAGATGCTGGGTACCAAATACACCCATCCTATCCAAATCACTGACTCACACCTTGGCAGCTGAGAGATGCCAAATAGCATTTAGTCAGAGACTTCATGGGATTAAAAAGAGTCAGTGAAAGGAATTTTGCTATAAACAAAATAAGTCCAATTGTTTGTTATGGTTTTTGAACCCCCAGGGCCGGTTAAGTTCCCAGCATGCCTCAGTTGGCCGGCTTCCCGCGTCACCTGCCTGCCACTCTTTCTCAGTGCTCAGTGTAACATATGTGCTGAGAAATGAAAATCGAAAGATGCTGGTCCAGGGAGGGCTGGGAGACGACGCCACGGGTAAGTGCGCCTGCTCTGCAAGCATGAGACCTGAGTCTGAATGGCCAGCACGTTCAAGGCCAAGCGTGGACGCATGCTGAAACCACAGCATAGGTGCAGAAGCCAGCAGACCCCAAGAGCTAGCTGCAGCCAGGCTGGGACGATGAGCCGTGTAGCTGGAGATCCTTTCTTAGGGCAACAAGGTGGGGAGCAATAGCCACCCAACATCCTGCTTTGGCCTCTGCATGCTTGTGCACCGTCATAAGTATCTGCATGTGTACATGTACATACACCACACACACACACACACACACACACTGTGGGGGGAGGGACTTGGTTCAAATCTTTGTATCATCTATAGAGGGGAAAGGACAATAGCTTATCTGTTACCCTGTGACTTTCAAGTGTGGTTACTTAAGTTCCTAGCTCAGCTCACAACAGCCTCTGATGACTGAACAGTAGATTAGGGAGGCAGACATCATGTGGAATGGACCTGATGAGGCAGAATCATTCACCATAAACCTGTTCTTTCTTCCTCCTCCATAGCCTTGGGGTTCAGAGAGTGTAACCTGGAACCTCTGACCACCTGCAGGAGAATCCCCCTTGGAGCTTAATGAGACTTCTAGTCCCTCCACAGTGACAGCAAGTCAACATCTCAGTATGGCTCTTTCTAACACTCCTTTCAGCCCCCAGGAAACTTTTGAGTGCCTTAAAATTGATAGCCACTGAACTAGGACAGTAGTTAAGATGTACACCCCTTTTATCCATTGTTTCCAATCACTTTGTAACGTTCTCTGTCATCCCTGATACTGTTTGGGAGCAGGCAGGTTCACAAAGGAGGTAGGGCTCCTGGCTGAGGATGTGCTTGACGGTAGCGTGCTTGTCCAGCATGTGTGAAGCTCCTGGGTTCCATTCTTGTTTGCTTGTCTTCTTGAGACAGCCTCTCAATGTGTAGCCCTGGCTGGTCTGGAACTGACTATGTAGACCAGGTTGGCCGCAAAGTTGCAGAGATCTGCTAGACAACTGGGTCTAACGGTGAGCCATGTGTCTCACCCAGACCCGGATCCCATTCTTAACATTTTTAAGATCTCGGCTTTGTTTTTAAGAGCTTTATGGGGGTGGGGGTGGCAAGGTTATGCTTCACTTGCTGTCCAACTGGGAATTTTTGTATTATTACAGAATTACACAGGCCCGGGTGCAGCACTTGCCTGTTTCCCTGGGCGATTAGCAGAACTTTATATTATTGGCTCATTTAACTTTAATAAAACCTCAATTACATCTGAAGGCATCCGGTCTAAAACCCACTCCCTCTTCCACTTGAGATGCCCAGAGAATTCCTGAACCACAGCAGCGAGGCGGGAGCTCTGGGTGGCGGTGTGACGCACTTGGCTGCGGTGGGCCCAGCGTAACACAAAGGTAAGGGCCCACGAGGGAAACAATAGAGTCTGGTGTTTCCCCGGAAACGGCAAGGATGGGGCTGGCAGGGCCGCTGGGCTCCCAGAGGCCCATGAGCTGTGAGACCAGGATGTAAGTGGGCCAGTCTGACTGCCAAGGTCCGGGAGCCCCCAAGTCCTTATTAACTGGGTCCCACAGCTAAGCAGTGATCTGCAGAAGTGGGCGAGGGGCCCAAGAGGCAATCAGATCAATCCTGTTTCAGAGGAGTAAGTCCTTTTAGAATTGGCTTCCTTTGGAGGAGCGTAGGTAGAGCTGTGGGCTGGACGGTGAGCTGATTAACAGAAGGTTAGGGTGGCTGAGTGACAGCTGAGACTGGAGATCTCCAACCTGAACATCAAAGCCTCTACTGCACTTCAGTGTACAGTGGCGTGCAGCTGAAGACCTGGCGGTGAGGGAGAGAGTTCCCTTGGTCCAGAGCCTAATGTTGCTTTCCCACCCAAGGGCCCTCTCCTGCTTTACGTGGTCTCTTATTGCAGGAGTAGCTACTTCTTTATGTAGGGCTCACAGTGCATCAGGTACTGTGCTGAGCACTTTATCATTAGCATGGCATGTAACTCTCCAAGCAACCCTGTGGGGTACACAGGGGCATGACCTGTTTTTTAGAAACAGATGAGGTGAGATGAAGCCACAAGTTCACACTTGTGATTGGCTGGCTCACTGTTCTGCTTTTCTTCTCACTCACTGCAGCCTAGAAGGGCAGTGTGGCTGGAGTCGAGTAAGAAAGTGTATGGAGGGGGAGGGGCTGAGAGATGAGGCCAGAGGGCTCCAAGGTGCGGCATGTGGGGACTGTCCAGAGACAAGGCCCCATGGGGGCCACAGAATGTCATACATTCTTCTGAGTAGACAGGAAGCCAGGGGAAGGGGTTCAGCAGAAAAACATTCCTGTCCCATGTATTTTAGGGAGCTGGAAGAAAACAGTCCAGAAGAGAGAAGGTGACTTACTCCATGTCAATAGTGAGATGTGTGTGAGACACAGGCCCTAGAGACAGGACGGAGACAAACAGATTCATTTTAAGTTGGTCTGAGGCACTTAAGGAGCAAGAGGCAGGCTGGAGTTTAGACATGACTTATTTTCATTTGCTCTCTGCTGCTGTTACGAAACACTGATCAAAAGCAACTTGAGGAGGCAAGATTTATTTCAGCATGCAGCTTACCATCCACTGTGAAGAGCAGTCAGGGCAGAACTCAAGGCCGGAACCTAGAGGCAGGAAATGGAGCAGAGGCCATGGAGGATGCTGTTTACTGGCTTGCTCCCTGTGGCTTGCTTAGCCTGCCTTCTTAGATAACCCAGGACCATTGCCTGCAGTGGTCTGGCCCTCCCATATCAACCATTAATCAAAACAAAAAGCAAACAAACAAACAAAAATGCCCCCAATACTTTGTCTGCAGACCAGTGTGATAGAGGGATCATCTCAGTTGAAGTCCTCTCCTCTAAAGCGACTCTAGAGTGTGCCAGGACGACACAAACTAACTAATTCTGTGATCCTTACAGTAACTTGAGTGATCTGGGTCACAGGCAATATCTACATCTGAAGAAAAGGTGTGAAAGATTCCCACCATTTAAACTCATGACAGAAGTGGTGTGTGTGTGAGAGAGAGACAGAGACAGAGACAGAGACAGACAGACAGACAGAGAGTAAAAGTTAAAACCGTCCTCTTTAAAAAAAAAAAGAAAAAGAAAAGAAAAGAAAAGGGGAAGTGCTGTGGGATGGTCTGTATGTCAAATTGCTCTGATTGGTCAATAAATAAAACACTGATTGGCCAGTGGCCAGGCAGGAAGTATAGGCGGGACTAACAGAGAGAAGAAAAGAGAGAACAGGAAGGCGGAGAGAGACGCTGCCATGACAAGCAGCATGTGAAGATGCCAGTAAGCCACGAGCCATGTGGCAAGGTGTAGATTTATAGAAATGGATTAATTTAAGCTGTAAGAACAGTTAGCACGAAGCCTGCCACGGCCATACAGTTTGTAAGCAATATAAGTCTCTGTGTTTACTTGGTTGGGTCTGAGTGGCTGTGGGACTGGCGGGTGACAGAGATTTGTCCTGACTGTGGGCAAGGCAGGAAAACTCTAGCTACATGAGAGAGACAGAGAGACAGAGACAGAGAGACATAAATAGAAAGACAGAGAGACACGCCAAGAGATACACACAGAAACACAGAGAGACAGAGAGAAAGAGACAGACAGAGACACAGAGAGAGACAAATAGAGAGACACACAGAGAGATACACACAGAGACACACAGAAACACAGAGAGACAGAGACAGAGAGAGACAAAAAGAGAGACAGAGAGAAAGACAGAGAAAGACACACACACACACACACACACACACACACACACACACACACAGAGAGAGAAGGGGTGGGTGGGAGTCACCTCTTTTCTCCAGAATGCAAAGTCAACACAGATTTTCCGACCATGAAGAGAGCAATGGGCATCCCAACCTCTCAGTCCTCTTGGAGGACTTATGGATGAAAGTGAGCTGATGCCCCATAACAGCTACTGTTGGCAGAAAGAAAGGTCTCGGCAACACTAGACAAGAGCCGGTGAGGGCTGCACACTGTGGCCACATTCACACAAGGAAAGCCAAGTAGAAGATTGAGCAATTACCCCAATAACTGCAGCCTGGGGAGCCAGCCAACTTGGGCAACTTGGATACAAACATGTGTGCTGGCTGCTTCCCTCGCCAGGATTACTTGATAATCGCCCAACTGTCTGTTTTGCTTAGATAAAGAGAACAAGAAACAGGTCTCCACCCGAGGCAGGAACCTCCCATGGGCCACAGTGAAGTGGGGCTGAGGAGGGAGCTGGGGACGCTGGCCTTGGTGTCTACCCATCTGCGTGGAGGTGTTAACCACATGAGATAGTGGGTAGGTTCTGGGGACCCTGAGGTCAACCATCCCTTTCCCACATTCTCAAACTTGAGACAAACTATAGATGGGAAGACTACGAGAATATGAGGGGGAGGCAAGGGCAGCAATTGATTTGCATGGGGGTGGGTGGGCTGGTATGAAAGCTGAGTTTGAACAGTCAGTAGGTTATCCAGGAAAAGAAAAACAAGGAAGGGAGAGGAAAGTCTTGGGAAAGAGAGGCCTTTTTTCCTCCTCTAGTAGTAAGAATTAGTTTACCAAGAAGTCAGAGCATCCAATATCTATTAAGCACCAGGCACATTTTGAAGCACTCTATATATACCCTCTTACTGCATCATAGCAGCTATTGGAAACAGGACTATCATTATTCCATTCATGTGTATAAGAAACAGGAGGCAGGCCTGGATGTGTGGCCCAGTGGGTGAGGATCTGCCCAGCATGCCTGAGGCCCTGGCACTCCCAGGTCCATAAAAGGGACAGAAGGAGAGGGGAAAGGAGGTGTGGAGGGAGAGGGGGAGGGAAGGACACACAGAGAGATGACTCAAAGACATAACCATTGACTAACTTACCCACAGTGGCCACACTGGGCTTCACCTACTGTCATCAGCATCCGAGCATCTGCCATACTCCTCCCAGTCTGGTTAGTCTCTAACAGGGCCTCAGCCCTGGCTGTTACCACTTAGACATCCCCAATGGACAGCCAGACCTGGTACTTCAGTAAGGCCAGAGCTGGGCTCCAGAGTAGAGCCCCAGCAGAACAAACTCCATGACAGAGCTTTGGCACTGACCTTATACTCCCTGCTCAACACCTCCTGCCTCTTCTTTCTTCAGTCTTGACTCCTCCGCCTCTCCTCTGCATGAACTCAGCATCTTCCTGATAGCCATAAGTTCCCCACAGACTCCGGCTGCTGCAACACAGCCTTTTCTCTCCTAGCCTCACAGGAGTGGAGACCCCTCACAGGTGCGGAGACCCTTCACAGATTCATGTCCTTGTCAGAGGTCTCCTGATCTCTTTCCAAATGTGCTTCTATGGTCTCTCACCCACAGCCAGTGTTGAGATCTGCCAAGGGAGCTGTGGAGCTGGCTGTGCCCATCCTGAGACATGTGCCCATCCTGAGACATGTGCCTACCACCATCATGAATGAACAGAGCTGTTTCCTGAAAGACAAATGATGAACTGGGAAGGCTGCCCGCACATACTCAGGCTCTCTTGGGGAAGCCTCAACCAAAGACAAAATGTGTGGTTCAGAATCACGTTGGCAACAGAGCAGACCCTTTCCAGTGTGTCTGAAAGAAATGAGCTAAGAACTAGTTGTGGTTCTCTGGAGACTTCACCCTGGTTCCTGGAAGTAAATATTGTGAAATTGAATTTGTGATAATGGTTTCCATTTTTAAAATATGGTATCACAATTCCTTTGAGTTTAAACTTTTTTGCAAGCATTCAAACCCCCCCAGTAAACAAAATTACAGACTTTCTAACCCAAATCACAGGGGGTGATGACACCTTGACTGAAAACTCTATTTAAGGTGAAGAAGGGAATGTGTAGACACTGTGCTGTGGATATCTGTATGCTGTGAATGTGTTGCTCTAATTGGTTAATAAATAAAGTGCTGATTGGCCAGTAGCCAGGCAGGAAGTATAGTCAGGGAAAAAGAGAGAGGAGAATTCTGGGAAGTGGAAGGCTGAGTCGGGAGATGCTGCCAGCAGCCACCGTGAGAAGCAAGATGTGAAGGCAGAAGTGGGAAAAGGTACCAAGCCACGTGGCTAAACATAAATAAGAATTATGGGTTAATTTAAGTGTAAGAGCTAGTCAGTAATAAGTTTGAGCAAATGGCCATACAGTTCGTAAATAATATAAGTCTCTGTGTGTTTTCTTGGGTCCAAGTGGCTGCAGGGCCTCAGGAGCTGGGCAGGAACAAGATAACTTCAGTTACAACACTGCATCAACGTTTTACATTTGAGCTGAGGCTGGAAGAAGAGGCGGCCAAGGGTGAGGAGCTCATTGGTAACCCGTTTTCCCTTGTGAACTTTCTGTAATGAAGGATAGAGGGAGCAGAGCTTCGGCGGGACGCAGTGGCTTTCTGATGCTCCAGCAGCTTGGCGTCATTTGCCTCACTCCCAAACTAAGGGAGCCTATCTTTACACTTGACCTTAGCCAAAAGGCCAAGAAGAGATAGGGAGCCTATTTTTAAACAGTTTTTTCCATTCCTTGTCTCACCTCAGCCTCATAAAATCTTTTTGCTATTTTGAAAAACAGCATCAAGGGAGACTGGGTCCTCAGTAATCCAGGTGTCTCACATCTCTACTAGAAGTATAGGAAAAGCAAGAACTGCCACATTATGCCAGATTCCTGCTGAAGGAAGGAGGATGACAACGTGAGAATCTGAGCTCTTCAGGAAGATGATGCTGTCCCGGGTGCTCAAGCACTGTACAGTGTTCAGGTTGCTTTCCCAGCATCCTCCGCCAAGTGTTCACCTGCTCTGAGGGAAGCACCCCGCCCCTTTCCTTCTCTATTTCCTAACAGTCTTCCTTCTTCCCTAATTCTCTCACCCCTGACTTGCACATATATACACACAGTCTATCTCTTCACTGTGCTCAGCTGGCTAACTCCCATGTTCAGTTGCATGGTTGATACAAAGTAGCCATTGTAGAAGGCTGTGATAACAGTTTAGGTAAAGGAGAGGATTTCCTGTTGTGGTTTTGACAACCTCTGAGCCTGGAGTCTGCTGCTGTGGATATCGCTCTATATATAAATAAAACACTGATGGCCAGTGACCAGGCAGGAAGTATAGACGGGACAAAGAGAGAGGAGAATTGGGGAAATAGGAAGAAGGGGGGGGAGACACTGCAGCCACCGCCAGGACAAGCAGCATGTAAAGACGCCGGTAAGCCACCAGCCACGTGGCAAGGTATAGATTTATAGAAATGGGTTAATTTAAGATATAAGAACAGTTAGCAAGAAGCCTGCCACGGCCATACAGTTTATAAGTAATATAAGCGTCTGAGTGATTATTTTATATGTGGATTGTGGGACTGCGGGGCTTGGGGAACCTGGAGAGAAGTCCTCCCGCAACAAATGGTGCCCAACGGCTCGAGTTCCCACCTTAAACCTGAGAATATTTAATAACCAATTCTAAACAGAGCCAAAACCAGGTTCCTGCTCCTTGTCTCATACGGCAGCTAGACGCCGCAAAACGCAGGTTTGAACACTGGCGGGTTCCTGGCGTGTGCGTTTGACCATCAGTATGGTGGGAATGAGGCGTCTGCCAGGGGCACATTCTGCTCTGTGGTAGATTTAGTCTTTACTAGTATTAAAAAAAAAAAAAGAAGTTTCTGGGCTACACGCTGCTCTGATAAAAGCGTAGACCTACTATTTCTGAGACTTGATGACTCCCAGAGCTGGAGAAAATGTACCACCGCCACATTGAAAAGCTGAAGGGGGCGGAGCCAGCAGCCTCAGTGCGGTTTCAGGCTTAGAAGGCTACAGTTTAAAGCAATAGGTTCACAATAAGACTGATTCAGATGAAATAATTTATAATGCATGCAAAAATGTACGTAGGCTCAAAAGAAAAAAAATATACCGTTATATAAACAAATAGTATCTAAAAATAAATTGTTTAAAAAAACCAGTAAAGGTAATAGCCACGTAAAGATGGCTATCACACAGAAAATCTGGATTATGTTGTCTTTGATATTCCTAACTAAAGAAAAACATTTGATTGTAAAAGCTGTTCAGTTATGCCAAAATGTAAATTTTAAAGGTACCTTGACTTCAAAATTTGGATTTAAGGATATGTTACTTTGGAAAAGAGGTTCTGCTTTTGTTTCCACAGAAAGCCAGAGGCTATGGATTTGTTCCAGATTAAGATACATCAGGTTTGACCAGCCAAGACCACCTGAAAGGTCTCCGATGACACCAAGGCCCAGATAATCTAACATCCAGAATGGTTTCAAGGCAACTGGCTCCCACAATACAGCCTTAAGGACTACCCCATAGGCCTAAAATTTTCTTTGCGTCCCCATAAGATACAGTACCCCCCTCCAGCAGGAAGTAGTAAGAGATGCTGTGCCCAAATTCCCAAATATACCAAGCTGGCTTTAGAGGTGGAATTGGCTCACTCCCCATCTAAACCCAGACAGATTGCTTAAAAAAAAAATGGTTACGAGATTCTTGTGTCCCAAATCAGAAGAGCCCTCTGGTGTGGGACAGAGAAAAACCAAAATTTTTATTTAAAACAGGTTGATTATAAATGTGATCTCTTTCTAAAAA